CTCTCTCTCTCTCTCTCTCTCTCTCTCTTTGTGAATGCAGATCGGGAGATAGAAATAGACGCACTGCAGCCGCTGCTCCCAACGTGCAAAATGAGAATGAATCTTTCACAAAAACGCGGGTAGATTTTTTCTCATTCTTTCTAGTTTGAAAAAGCATGCGTGTGCGCGGACGAGAGAGAGATAGAGAGGGAGAGAAACTGACGTCGAGTTTGGCGCACAAAACTCGGCTTGAATCTCTCTCTCTCTCTCTCTCTCTCTCTCTCTCTCTCTCTCTCTCTCTCTCTCTCTCACGCTGAGAGATTCGTGTGTGTTTTTTTTTTTTTTTTTTGAAACAAGCGACCGAACGTTGGCTTGTCTGACCTCCGAAGGTCGTGGCCGTGTTAACGGCCGCGACTTCTAAAAAACAACAGGGAGGTACTGATGGTTTAACCACTCCGAAAAAAACAACTTTTCAACCTCATTTATCTTGGCTACCTTACCCTTCTTGGCCCAAGTTTCCACGAACCATCTTCTGCCTTGTTGTCTGTTTTAGCTTTTGGTGACCCTTCTCTTCCAGTCTGCTGCTATGGCTTGGTGGATTAGACTTTTGAAAGTATGTTTCATCTCCTTGCCGTGCATGTCTTCATCTTTGAAGACCTTCTTGCTCCTTCCCTGCCAGATGACCAGATGCCCATCGCCCTGATTACTTGTGCTACGTATCCCCAACCTTTCTCGAGGCTCAGTCCGTCTCGAACACCTCCCAGTAGTACCCACAATTTGTCTAATGTGAAGACTTTATCTAAGATTATCTTTTACTCCTCGTTTCACCATCTCCATATACGGCTTGAGGCTGGGCAATCCCACCATAAATATATGGTGGATTCTTAGGCCCACTCACATCTTTTGCATGTAGTGTCCACTTGCATTCCGTTCTCTGCCAGCCATAATGCCAAATGTGTGGCTACCAACGACAACAGCCAAGGTCCTACTGCTAGTCGTTGCGATGGCATAATAGCAAGATGTTGTCAGGATCTAGCATTAATCTTGATAATCTTCTTCGGCTCCATCTGTAGCAGTTTGACCCATCGATCTGAGGCCACCGTGCTTGCAGTTCTCGCCCTTTCCTGAATTTTATGTCCCAATTTTAGGGAGTCCTCCGATAGATGCATGTCTTCTCCCCCTTATCCTCCGCCTTGCCAGGCCAATTGAGTCGGGTTTGCTCTGATCTTTGAGAGCGTTTGTCCTCCACACAGTACCATTGCTGACCATTTTCCTACTTCATTTACCCTTTCCTTGACTCTAGCTTGTTCCTGCACTGGAGGAGGTATTCTCACTGTACCCTCGTCTTCCTGCTGTTTCATCAGTGTTATGCAACACTCGCTCCCTGTCTTCCCCCACTATTGGAACGATCTCCTTCCATCTGCTTCGATCAGTGTGAGTTTCCAAAAATTTTGAGCTTCATCTTGTTTCTCATACCATGTGCCAGGTGGGTCTACTCCCTCCAGTGTCAGAATTGTTTTCCAATCCGCTGGGATCGTTTCTTTCAATCTGTTTACTTTCTCCTTCACTCCCCACAAACCTATTAACTTCTCCTTTAGTTGATTTGTGGTAGCTCAGTCGCCTTTTAGCATGTCCCAAAGATCTCTTACCCGAATAACACCTCTCCCATTGTCTGCTGAAACCTCTTGTTTCCCTGTTAGCCGTAAACCATCGCCCTTCCCGGTCTCTGATAGCTGAATTTTCAAAACGAATATGTGCCAACACCTCTTATTTTGTATCTGGCTTCTCCTGTTTGCCTGGCTCCAACGTACTCCAGACCTTCAGTATCTCTGTCCAGAATTATGAGTTTACTGGTGTTTTAAGGTAGGAGTCGATCCAAATGCAAGCCCACACATCCTCGGGTTGGGCAAGTTTCCAGGCTTTCCCCAGTATGTCTAAAGCCAGCAAGATCCAGTGCTCCTCTGATGGTGTGCAAGTTGCCTTGGTTACCCACCGAGTCAATATTGCATTATTTTGCCGTTCTGGGTCTCTTAGCCCCAGACCCCCTTCGTCTCTCTTGAAACATACTAGATCCCATGCTACCTTTGGCAGGTAGCCTTCGTCATCCACTGCATATGGCTTCAATAGAAAGCGTGACGATTTTTTCTTGGCTACTACGCATACCTTCGGTCCCAACGGGCGGACTGCTCCCATAAACCATAACGGGGCGAACAGTGCCACATTTATGATCAGGATCTTCCTATGAGTGAGAAGTGGGATGCTTTTCCCCACGTTGTTAACCTATGGAGAACTTTTTGTTGGAGCAGATCATCTTGATCAGCCTTACAAAATAACAATGCTACCTGCACCCCAAAAATCTCTCCGACTGAGAGTCTGGGATGCGTTTCATCCCCCACTCAATTTTCAAACAGGGTGCTGTCGGTAGGAGATACACGAACTTCGACCAGTTGATTGCGGCCTCTGACAGACCCTCATACTCCTTCAGACAGAACCTCAGGGCTTCCAAGGACGAGACTGAGTTCTATGAGATTGCGAATAAGTCATTTGCAAGGGGTTTTGTCCTGCATTGTCTTCCTCTCATGCTCAGACCCTTGATTTGGCTGCGGGATCTTATATTGCAGAGCAGCGTCTCCAGCTGCACCACGAAAACGAGACGTGCCAGGGGATAACCCTGACGCAGGGATCTTGTCAGTTTAAAGGTTTTAGAGAAGTGATTGTTGATCATCACAGACGTTGTGGATAAAAAGTACAGTATTGTCACCCATTGGCATAAATTCACTCCAAAATTCAATCTCTTCAGTGTTGTAAAGACATACGACCAGTTTACCCGGTCGTATGCCTTTTCCATGTCCAAAAGGAGGAATGCCATGTCTAGGTTCCCTTCCTGTATAACCTCCATCGATTCTATCGTCATGGCTATATTATCGAGGATCGACTTACCACTGACAAAAGTTGCTTGATCCTCTAATATCAATTCCGATAAGTACTTCGTCAGTCGCCTAGCTAAAACCTTAGCTAGGATCTTGTATGGCACGTTCAATAGGGATATGGGTCTCCAGTTTCTAATTTCATTCTTGTTTCATTTCTGGAAGAGCACAAATATCATTTCATTACATGCATTTCTGGGTAATCTTCCTCCTAACAGGGTCTCGTTATATACCTCTATCAGGTCATTCCCCAGCAGATCACAAAAAAGGGAGTAGAACTTCACTGGTAAACCATCATCTTCGGGCACTTTCCCTTTTGCCATCGCGTTCAGAGCCTCTTTCCCTTCCTCCTTGGTCACTGGTCTGTCCAGATTTAGTCTTCCCTGAGTCGGTCGTCTCTTGTTATATTGGTCCTAGTGGTGGTTTCCTACTGACAGGTCTATGTGCATCCCTTCTTCCGGTCTTCGTGAAGTCAAAATATTCTGGTAGTAGCAAGATGCATATTCACAGTGCGATTCTAGCTTGGTTGTTGTAGGTTCGCTGTCGTTGACCGACTGACATAACTCCTTCATTGGCAGAGGTTCGATGAGGTAGGAGTTTCTGAAAAACCTCTTTTGTCATCCTATCATAGACTATGATCCCTTTTACGTTTAATCTTTCTGCCCACACCTCTAATTTCTCCTGTTACAGTTTGTCACACTCCTCCAGCCTCTTCACTCGTTCTTTGTTTCAAACCAATTCCGAAATTGAGTGTAGTGTCATCCGTTCTTCCACCTCTTTGTCTTTCCTTCTATACTTGTTTTCTTCCTTGTATCTCTGTAATGCATACACCCGTGAGGGACCTGACGCAGCCTTACTGCCATCGCACCAACACAAGGGTGGGGTAAAGAGCCTCCAGCCCCTGGCTATGGCTGCCCTTCCCACACTCCTCTAAAGCTCCTGCAGACCTCCAACTTTCTCCACCAATAGCACTTCCTCTCCCCACTCTCCGACAGCACCGCCCAACAGTAGCAGCCAACCATCATTCGCTCATTGCCAAGTGAATGTCCCAGCAAATGCCACAAGTGTGAGGTTGTTGGGTGGAGTGCTGACTTTTCTAGCCAGCTGAAGGACTGTGGGCAACAACTTGGTCCACAGTCTCAAAATCGTAACTGTGGTAGGCCCTTGATCTGAGGCCAAGATCAAGGGTCACAGTTCTTGATATTCCCCTAGGAGAACTAGGGGCCTTCAAGTCTTCGAGTACTTGGGCCTTTCCCCAGGCGGCATGAATCAGGGAGAGGTTGCACCAAACCTTTCCTTGTTGTGCTGCTCCAAGCGCACAAGTCTCCTCCTTATACACTTTCCCTGGCTCGCGACCAGGTTCGCGCTCCTCCCCCTGCAGCTATCTGCGTGCTGCACGTTTGGGGAGGAACAAACGAACCTGGCTGTAAACAAGGTCATGCTCACCAAAAAGAAAAGCAAAAAAAAAAAATTATCGAGAAAAAACAAAAAAAGAAAAAAGAAAGAAAAAAAAACCTTTACCTTTTATGTCGTGCGGCTCTCCCTACCAGTGGGACTCAGATGCCATGTTGGAGACTCACCTGTTGGCCGTTGCTTTTCTCGTCGTCGAGCAGGTTGCAACATGTAAGTCCTCTCACTTTCCCTTCACAGTGTCTAACTAAAGTCAAGCTTAACACTGTTAACAGGGTCTTCCTCCCATAGCATGCCGCCACCTGGTTCAATTCAGGAGCTAAGTTCGGACGCCTCCTCAAGCAGCCGTTGCCACAACAAATAAGCATTTTTCACTCAACGATCACTGGCAGCCCAAAACCACCCAGAGGCATGTGCAAAGAAACCCTTACCTACGCCCGAATGTAGCCGCATCCTTGTGGCGGATCCATTCGCCCATCCCGTAGATAGTGCCCAACCAGTTTGTAAAAACGAAGGGGCACGTTCAAGAATTCACGAGCAAAAAATAAATAATTAAAAAATTAAAAAAATTAAAAAATATAGAAAAAAAAGGCGAATCTAAAAGAATAAATCTAAAGGGAAAAAAAAAATCAGAAAAAGAAAAAAAAAAGAAAGAAACTTACTTCATTGCTCGAAAAGGTCGCCCGTTACAGTATGGCGTTGTAAAGTGCACTGAAGCTTGAAACGCCCCAGTCACTTCATAGAACGCCAAATGACATTTCCAAATGTAGTTAGTTTTTTTTTCTTTTTTTCTTGTTGGCTTATGCCAACGGTCACTTCACATTCGTGGATCACCCACAAACTGTTGAAACACAGGCCCGAGTTCGAATCACAACCAGATCTGACCGCGCTGGCAGCATTTGAAGTGGGCTGCTCCAAAAGGAGTTAGCCTGGTGGCAAGTGCAATTCGATCCCGGTATCTGCAAGGTGAGAGTCTGACACTGTAACCTATTGGGCTAGCTCCTATCACGACAGTGATAGGAGCAGCTCTTCTATAAGAAGAGCTTGCCCAGTTGCTATCCCCCCTGCCGAGGCTTTGCAAACCCTCTCTGCCTATGGCCTCGCAGCCCCTGCTTTCCTGCAACTCCTGCCTGCCTGTGGCCCTGTAGGCCCTGCCTTCCCGTGGCCTGCAGGCCCTTCCTGCTTATGGCACTTGCGGTTAATGGCCCCGAAAATCTTCGGGGAATCGTCCAGTGAAACTTGCAACGAATTTTTAGTGAATTCGCTAAAGAGTTTGATTTTTTCTTTGCTGAAGGTTTAAAAGGTTCGTCTTTCGTCAATGAATAGTGCTTGCTCTTTAAGAACTCGGGTTGTTGATGTGTCCCTATGTAGCATCATGTCACCGAACCCGAACGTTCGGGACCGAACGCGAACGAGCGCCGAAAGTCTCCGAACGCGAACATAAAAAAAAAAAAAAAAAAAAAAAAAAGTTCTTCAAAAAATCTGAAAAAACTATATGTGATGTAAATTAATAATACAAACAACGTTTGCCTTGGAGGTATGCTCAAATTTGTAACCAAACTCGAGTTAAAAATCAGACAACCGTTTTTTTTTATTATTTTTTTTTAAATATGTTCGGCCGAACGCGTTCGGGTGACGTTCCGCCAAACACCCGAACATGTTCGGATGTTCGGAAAAGGTCCAAACATGTTCGGTGTGCTACACAGATGTGTCCCTTCGTTGACAAATTGGTGGTGATTGATATTATCCTCACTCCGAGAATTATCTTTTTTTTTTTTTTTTTTTTGGGGAACTTACGTTTTTTATGACCGTTCACTTATCAACTTTCTTGAGGCTTTGTCGAAATTTACACTTATTTCTCTTCTTCGGAAACTTAGTCATTCTTAGAGGGTCGAAAATCACCCCCTGCCCATGGCTTCGCCGAAGATTACACTTATTTTTCTTTTTTCTCTTTTTCGGGAACTTAGTCGTTTTTAGGAGGTCTGTCACCCACCAACCCTCCCAGGGCTTCGCCGAAAATTACATTTTTTTTTTCTTCTTTTCTTCCTCAGGAACTTAGTCATTCTTAGGGGGTCTCTCATCCATTAACCCTTCGAGGGTTTCGCCGAAGATTACACTTTTTTTTTTTTTCGTCTTTTTCTTCAGGAAATTAATATTTCTTAGGGGGTTTGCCACCTACCAACCCTCCCAGGGCTTCGCTGAAGATTATACTTTTTTTTTTTCCTTCTTTGGGAACTTAACAGTTCTTAGGGGGTCTGCCACCTACCAACCCTCCCCAGGACGTCGCCGAAGATTACACTTGTTTTTCTTCTCTTTCTTTTTCGGAGACTTAGTCATTTTTAGAGGGTTCACTTATCACATTTTCCTAGGACTTTGCCGAAGATTACACTTTTTTTTCTTCTTTTTTTTCCTTTGGGAACTTAACCGTTTTCATGAAAGTTTTCTTATTAACTTCCTTTAGGCTTCCCCGAAGATCACACTTTTTTTTTCTCTTTTTTTTTCTTCTCCAACTTAGCCGTTTTTAAGGTGTTCACGTATTAACGTTCCCTAAGGCTTCGCCAAAGGTTACACTTTTTTTTCTTCTTTTTTTTCTTTGAGAACTTAACCGTTTTCAGGGGCGTTCACTCATTAAGCTTTCCTCAGGTTTCGCCGAAGGTCACACTTCTTTTTCTTCTTTTTTTTTCTTTCGGGGACTTAGTCATTTTTAAGAGCGTTCACTCAATAATCTTCCCTAACGCTGGGTTGAAGATCACACTTATTTTTCATTTATTGTTTTTCCGGGACTTAGCCATTTTTAGGCTGAACACTCGTCAACTTTCCCTAAGACTTCGCCGAAGATTACAATTATTTTTCTTGTTGTTTTTTTTCGCGAACTTAGTAGTTTGTAGGGTCGTTCACTTATTAACTTTCCCTAAGGTTTCTCCAAGAATTCCACTTTTTTTTTTTTTGGGGGGGGGGGACTTAACCTTTTTTAGGGCCGTTCACTTATAAACTTCCTTGGGGCTTCGTCGAAAATCACACTTTTTTTTTTTTTTTTTTTTTTCGGGAACTTAAGCTTTCTTATGGGCGGTGACTTATCTACGCTTTTTTTTCTTCTTCGAAAACTTAGTTGTTTTTAGGGGGTCGAAAACCACCCCCCAGGGTTTCGCCGAAGATCACACTTTTTTTTTT